CTGCCTCAGCCTCCCGAGTAGCTGGGACTACAGGCATGCGCCACCATGCCCGGCTAATTTTTTCTATATATTTTTAGTTGTCCAGCTAATTTCTTTCTCTTTTTAGTAGAGATGGGATCTCACTCTTGCTCAGGCTGGGAAACTGGGGAATTGTTGATGGATTAATTTTACTTTATGATCCTCACTGAAAACATGCAGTTAATCTTTCTACAATTGCTGTCTTCTAATTCCCACAGGAAGCATGGTTTATAAAAGGAAAAGAAAACTACACGGGGAGCCCGAAGACCTAAGTCTGAAATGCCAACTCTGCCCCTAATTAACTTCCTATGAAAACTTGGATAAGCCACCCTCTCTGGGATTCCATTTTTGCATCAGTTAAAAAAAAAAAAAAGGGAGGAATGAGCCAATGTCTCTAACAGCTTTAGAGACTTGTACCATATTATTCTATGTCTTTAAATCTTTACTTTCCTAAGTGCACTTGTCAGCATATAGGAAGAATATGCTGGACATCTTCCTCTACCACATTTTGGATTGCAATTTGATAAAGACAAAAAGAAACCAGGACAGATTCCAGGGCCTGAAATGTAAGCGTGTTGGCAGGCATTTACACTAAATTTGACCTCTACATCACTTACTTCAAGACCAATGCATAATATTAAACAACATGTTGGAGCAATAATTTTAGTTTCATAATTTATACACAGCAATTTCCTTATACAGGATATATTCTCCCTTCCCCCAAGGGAAATATACCTATACTTTAAAAGTGTTAAGTTTAAAAAAATAAAAAAGGTAGTGTTCTTAAACGTACAATCTTTTGGCAGCTATAGAAGAAGAATGAAACCAAGTTATCCCAAACAGACTGGACAGAACAAATCAGAATCTGTACCAGATTAAAGTTATACATTATGCCCAGCAAAGGGCTTCACTCATCAGGGCAACCAGGATTATCTGTGGTGTGATTTATGTAGCTAAAAGCAAGCATATATACTTCCTGTTCACCAGGTCTGAAATAAAAAAAAAAGGCAAGCATAACCCCACAGACTATTCAGATCATACATATGCTCAATTGGGTTACCATCATTCACTGCAACAAAGGTTACACTACAGTGTAGACTTCTGTGCTCTCTACACTGTCCTTTAGAAGAATGCTTTCCGAATGTCTGACTCGGGCAGGCTGGCTGTGTAATAAAGCCTCTGGAAAAGAAGATCTAAGCCTGAAATGCCAACTCTGCCCCTAACTTCCTATGTAAACCAGGATAAGCCACCCTCTCTGGGATTCCATTTTTGCATCAGTTAAAAAAAAAAAAAAGAGGGGGGAATGGGCCAAAGTTTCTAAGGCCAAAGCCTTAGAGACTTGTACTAATATTATTCTATGTCTTGTCAGCATACAGGAAGAATAGCTGGAAATCTTCCTCTACCACGTTTTGGATAAATGTGCCTAGAAAGTTGATTCTCCAGATCTGGGATGCAGCTGAGAAACTGGTACTTGTTTTTAATGCTTCATAGGTAATATGATGTACAGATTAGGAAACCACTGCACAGTTACCAGAATACAATTACAAAAATACTTCAGAGTTCAGTGGGTAAATTCCAGATATCTTTTTTTTTGAGACAGGGTCTCACTCTGTCACCCCAGCTGGAGTGCAGTGGGGTTATCATAGCTCACTGCAACCTCAAATTCCAGGGTTCAAGTGATCTTCCTGCCTCAGTCTCCTGAGTAGCTGGGACTACAGGCACACAACACTATACCCAGCTAATTTTTTTATTTTTTGTATAGACAGGCGTCTCACTCTTGGTCAGGCTGATCTCAAACTCCTGACCTCAAGCAATCCTCCTGCCTTGGCCTCCTAGAATGCTAGGATTACAGCTGTGAGCCACCATGCCTGGCCCCAGAGAACTATTAATTGTAGAAACAACTAGAGACTGCGAACATGGACAGAAAGATTAACATTTAGACTTAAAATTTGTGTGACTTGAGAAAATTATTTTATCTTAATTTTAATGAAGGACTCTAGTGCTAATGTTTAGTTATTACAATTCCTGAAAAAACTTTTTATTGTAAATATATTATCAGTGATGAGACACTGAGAATAACTAAAAATGCAAATCCAGGATAGTGTCCCCTTTCTCCTAAGAGCCTGGTAAAACTTCTTACTAAATTACAGTTCTAAACAAACTGGCTACCTCAACAAAAAGCCTGAGTCAAGGAGGAGGGGAGGGGTAAAAACCTACCTAACAGGTACAATGAACACTATCCGGGTGACGGGCACATTAATAGCCCTGACTTAAGCATTACAAAAGCTATCCCCATGTAACAAAAACATCTGTACCCCCCTTAATATTTTGAAGGGAAAAAATACCTGAGTCAGGAAAAGATCTCCGAAATTTCATCTTCCAGATAAAGGTAAAAAATATGCAAAATATATTTTCACCAAATGTTTAGGATAAGATTAAAGAGCAAAAGTTCTCCACAAAGCTACTTTTGTAAAGGCAAGTAACATGGTAATATTGTGGGTTTGTCTTTTTTTAATTCTTTAAGACATTTAAGTATCTTAGGGCAACATCACTAAAAACAGTGGCAAGAAGTATGACAGTGGTCTAAGACTAGTTCCACAGTATTGCCAGAAGTCACTCCATGTCATAAGTGAGACTGGAATACCTCTGCTTCCACTGTAAGCAGTAGCAAAATATGTGAAGAGGAAAGAGATGCAGAACTCTTCTTAGCTGACTTTTCCACTTATGGGAAAGATATGCTAGGTTTTAAAAAGATGAAAAAGTAACAGTTTACCACAAGATCTTCCAGAGAAGAGCCATCACTGATAACAAGGTCATTAAATTGGTCTTGGATTTGGTCCATAGTTTGTGGGAGATCTCGAGCTGGAATAAACCACTCATGCTCTTCTTCCTCTTCCAGCATTTCTTGGAAGCAGCGTTCAATAAATTCTTCTTCCCATAACTCCTCTTCTATCTAGATTTATAAAAAATAAAGGATAATTTATAGCACACTTGGTAAGATATCACTAGGAATGGCTTAAAATATCTTACACTAAGCTATTTAAAAGCACAATGTCATACTTTCTCATCTGCTTCTGTGCTAAGGAAAAAAATGCTTACCATAAAGACCTGGGAAGATTTGCTTAAGGTCTTCCCGTATCTTCACTTGTATTAGCAGAATATTTTTTTTATTTTTTTACCATTGAGGGTGGCAAGGAAGAAGTTAACAAAGGAATGCTCTCTTTGAGGAATACATATAAGAATTACCTGTAATACTTTAAAACTACGCAATCCCTCATCTAACCCAAAAATGACTAAAAGAAAACCTCTAGGGGAGTAAAGTCAGAGAATGGGTAATTAAAAAAAAAACAACAAAAACACCCAAAAAACCACCCAAATGATGGTGAAATAAGACTAAACTGTTTTAGTCATGAACATCCATCACTGGATATGGAGAAGTCAAACTGGCTACTGATTACCAAAGCTATGATTGGGGAGGATTTAGAAAAAAGATGGGAACAAATGCCAGACATACGGGAAATAAAGGCAACATTTATCAATGTATGACAGTTGACAGTTCTCTGAAGAGTAGTATCAGATTTTTCAAGCTGATCAGACTGAGGATCTCAGATGAAAAACAGCATAATTCTGCAGCCTAGCATCTGTGTCCATCTGCTCATGATTCCTTAATTCTCTTGACTTTCACTGTAACACAGCAATCTGATTGCTGTAAGGCAGCGGTCCCTAACTTTTTTGGCACCAGAGACTGGTTTCGTGGAAGACCATTTTTCCATGGACGAGAGGTGGGGTGTCGTGAGTGGTGGGGAGGTGGTGCGCAGCCCAGGTGGTGATGCGCAGCCTGTTTCCTAACAGGCCACAGACCGGTACCAGGCTGCAGCCCTGGGAGTTGGAGACTGCAGGTGTAAGGCAGTGGTTTCCAAATCTCATTGCTCATCTGGAAGAGCTTTTAAAACACAATTCCCCAAGTTCCACCCTAGTTCTCTTGAATCAGAGTCTCCAGGTGAGACCCTGAAACAAGCTCCCCAAGTTATTTCAGTAAGCAGCTGAGCCTAGCAGTAATCCGCAGCCAAATAAAGTAGCACTGGTGGCACATAAATCCAGATGTCATATATAAAGGACCAGATAAAAACACATTTCAGGGACAAATACAATCATTATTTGAGGGCTGTAATGGGCTACAAAAAAAGAACATGTTTGTACACAAAACTGACTTGTCTGTTGAATTCTTCTTCATTTTCCATCCACATGTACTCTGCAAATGGATTGTCATCTTCATGAGAATGACCGTTAATAATCACGTCTTCATTGATGATGCTTGGGCTAGTACTGCTGCGACTTGGATCTTTCATGGTTGGCGTCTGTTGTCGTTTTTAACCTTAAAAGAAGAACAATACAGCTAATTTACTCATTCCTTCAGTCTTAGTGAGCATCTATTATTACCAATCATCGTGGTTTAGGTGTAAGAAGCACATGACATTTTAAGGGTACATGGCAAATTAAGCAATTGGAAAGTTTCTTTTCTTTTCCAAATGATTTTAATGTTTAAGAACTATCCATCAGTCAGTCCATTGCCAGAGGAGTTTAAAAAAAGAAAAAGAAAAAAAAGAAATAGCTGAGGACAGCCTTTATCCAATGTTTTCTGGTAACGGTAAATGAAGTTAATCAACTGCTTACATGGAACCTCCAAACCATCCAATTTATTTTATATTAGGTATCTTTTGCTTTATAAAACAGGCATGGTCTCAAAGACTTAGTCATTAAATAAAATGATGAAAAGCAAATCCCACTTTTAAAAACTGAATTCAAAAAGTCCAGAGATTAAAAGTGAAAACAAACTTTTAGTGACCTCTTAGTTTCTTAGTCTGAAGGTCTAGCTCTGGATCTCTCCTTCAGAGCCCATTCTCTATTTGGTTTTTCTGGGTTCATATCAAGGTCCTCCATAATTGGATTTCCCCCACTGTACAATGAGCTTCAGGCATCTAATCTCCTTTTATTTAAGTAAGAGTAGTATTAAATACAGTAGGTCTGGTTTCTCATACCACTCAATAGCTGACAACATGATCTAACCTCACTTATATATAATAGGCTAAAAATTTGAAGAATGAGATTTCGGATTCTACAATATTCTACCAATTCATTAGGTCTGAAATTGCTAAAAATAGGTTTACATAAAACAAGTCACCTGTACATAAACCCAAGCAGTACTGACTTGTGCCAAAGAACACCCTGTTGAAGTCTGCTTACTTTGAAGTTATCATAATCAAGTGAAACGCCAAAACTAAAATCCCCTACTAGAAATACTTTTTTTCCCTTGGGGTAAGTTTCAGGGGAGAGACTAGCTCTATGTGTATGTTGCCTGGCCCTTTAGCTTTATGGACTCGTCCCTGAATACTAATGATAATAGTATCATGGTGGTGAAAATTTTAATTAAGAGGTTCTCAACTAAAAACTACTGGGAACTTTTGCCCTAGTTGTTGTCTGTACGTATGTGTATGAAAGAGAGATAGAGACAGACTCAGAGTTATGTGGTAGGGTGTCAGCAGAAAGAAAATGTGGGCCAGGTGTAATGGTTCACGCCTGTAATCCCTAGCAGTCTGGGAGGTCAAGGCAGGAGGACTGCTTGAGGCCAGAAGTTCAGGACCAGCCTGAGAGGGAGATTCCATCTCTACAAAAGATAGAAAAATTAGCTGGGCATGGTGGTGCATGCCTGTAGTCCTAGCTACTCAGGAGGCTGAGGCAGGGGGATCCCTTGAGCCCAGGAGCTTGAGGTTGCAGTGAGCTATGATGATGATACTGCACTCTAGCCCAGGTGACAGAGCAAGACCATGTCTAAAAAGAAAGACAGGAGAGGAGAGGAGGAAGAAAAGGAAAGAAAAGGAAGGAGGACAGGAAAGGAAAGGAAAGGAAAAAGAAAAGAAAAAAAGAAAGAGAAAGCAAGCAAACATGATTTGGGTTAAGAAATTGAGGCACTATAAAAGCAGACAAGACAGTAAAACAGACGATGAATATATTTGGTATTTTTATTTATCATTAAACTTGGATGAAATAAAACTATTTTGATAACAAGTTTTGAATAAATAGCAATCAGTTCTTCTAAAGAAAATTATTCATTCTTACATGTCAGGTTATCAAACATTTATATGCTTATCTTCAAATGAATTACATTTTAGATTTTGCTCAAATACTATGAATAGCAGGGGTTGATCCTGCCTCACAAATGGATGGAATTTTGCTTAATCTGCATCTGAACCAACCATTAAATTACGTTTAAAAACATCCCAATATAAAACAACTTTTCATTATTATGTTCCCAACTTGTACCCATTAAATCCTACCTTTCAGAAGACCACAGCATTAACAAATAAGAGGATACAACCATTTATATCGTTAGTTAGAAATAACAAAAAAAAATTTTTTAGCAGAGTACAGGATGTTCAATATTCAACTGGAATTGAATAGTTAAGTAATAAGTACATGTGTGAGACACACCCATCCAGAAATACTTCTAACTTGCTTATAAATATGCTTCAACTGGTGGCTCACACCTGTAATCCCAGCACTTTGGGAGGGTCACGGCAGGAAGATCGCTTGAGGCCAGGAGTTGGAGACCAGCCTGAGCAACATAGTGAGACCCCCATCTCTCCAAAAAAGTTTTTAAAAATTAGCTGGGTGTGGGGTGTGCACCTGTAGCCCTAGCTACTTGGAAGGCTGAGGCAGGAGGATCTCCTGAGCCCAGGAGTTGGAGGTTGCACTAAGCTATGATGATGCCACTGCACTACAGCCAAGGCAGTAGAGCGAGACCCTGTCTCCAAAAAAAATAGTCCAGGTTGGGCGCAGTGGCTCACATCTGTAATCCAAGCACTGTGGAAGGCTGAGGCGGGAGGACTACTTGAGCTCAGGAGTTCAAGACCAGCCTGAGCCAGAGAGAGACTCCCGTCTCTACTAAAAATAGGAAAATTAGCTTGGCGTAGTAGTGTGCACCTGTAGTCCCAGCTACTGAGGAGACTGAGGTAGAAGGATCGCCTGAGCCCAGGAGTTTGAGGCTGCAGTGAGCTATAATGATGCCACTGCACTCTACACAGGATGACAGAGCACAACTCTGTCTCAAAAAAAAAAAAAAAAGTGCAGTCATCCTTGGCATCTGCAGATAGATGCTCAAGACCCTTATGTAAAATGATGTAACATTTGCATAAAATCTATGCATGTCCCCCTGTACACTTTAAACCATCTCTAGATTACTTCTAATACCTAATACAATGCCTACAAATAACTTCATTTGTATGGATGCAACATAGCACTTGGTGCACTGGCAAATTCAAGTTTCCCTTTTTGGAATTTTGTGCAATTTTCCCCCCTGAATATATTCTTTCCTTTTCTTTTTTTTTCTTAAGAGACAAGAGTCTCCCTCTGTCATCCAAGCTGGAGTTGCAAGGGCGTGATCATAGCTCACTGTAGCCTCTAACTCCTGAGCTCCAGCAATTCTCCTGCCCTAGCCTCCCAAGTAGCTAGGGCTACAGGTACATGCCACCAAACCCAGCTAATTAAAAAAAGTTTCTGTAGTGATGGGGTCTCACTATGTTGCTCAGGCTGGTCTCAAACTCCTGGCCTCAAGCAATCCTCCTGGCTTAGCCTCCCAAGTTACTGGGATTACAGGTGTGAGCCACTGCACACGCCCCCCCCCTAAATATTTTCAATCCGTAGTTGATTGAATCCACGAATGCAGAACCCATGGATATAGAAGGCCAACTGTGTATCTATATATAAATGTAATCTTTTTAAAAAAGTGTTTTTCCACCATTTTCGGAGCACAAGCTTGTGCTAACAATGAAAAATTTGCCTCAGCAAATTCTAGTCTGGGAATCACCAGGGGACTCCCTCTCTCCTTGTCTTATGCCAACCCCAGTGACAGACAAAATATAAAAAATAGTAGCAAACAGGGACTAATCCATGCATCTGACAGGGCCTACATTAGCCTACTGCCCACTATCATCAAACAACTGATGGCTTCGGTGTACATCCTAGGAGAAAAAGTCTATGAAGGACAGTAAATGAAGTTATTTTCAGCCAAGCATTATTTGGGAAACAAATCATCACTGAAGCCAACAAGAATGAACTGGAGCCTAGGCACTAATCTTATACCTCAGATAGCTAAGGGGAAGGAATAACTGCCAACCAGATTTCTGGCTATAGCCAGCCAAGTGAAAGCCAGAGAAGTAAGGATCATCTACTTCCATAATGTTGACAAACCTATAGTCATTGAGCTCAAGGTGTCCTAACACATGGTAAAATGTATCAGACTTCTACTTTTCTTCTATGATCTGTCCTTGACACTTCTTGGACCACACTATCTAAAATGTGTCCTTCGTGTATATGTTTGTGTCTTGTGCTATTTTTTAAAAATTGAGATAAGAGATCACACACCATAAAAGTTACCATTTTAAAGTGCTTGATTCGGTGGTTTCTATGAGGTTGTGCAACCATCACTACTACCTAATTCCAGAACATTTTCATCACACCAAAAAGAAATCCCATACCCATTTGTACTCACTCTCTGTTTCCCAAGTCCTCCAATCCTAAGCAACTCCTAGGCTACTTTCTGTCTCTTCAGATTTGCCTATTCTGGACATTTCATATAAATGGAATTATAAAATGTGGCCTCTTCTCATGTCTGACTTCTTTCACTTACCATGTAAGGTTCATCTATGTTGTAGCATGTATCAGTACTTCATTCCTTTTTATTGACAAATAATATTCTATTGTATAGATACATACATTTTGTTTATCCACCCATCAATTAATGAACATCTGGATTGCTTACACATTTTAGCTATTATGAATTAATGCTATGAACATTTATATACAAGTTTTTGTATGAGCATATTTTCAGTTCTCTTGAGTATATTTACCTAGAATGTTTTTCTAATGCTGGTCTCTAATTTTCAACAGAAAAAAATGAGTGAAAAAAGTGGCTGACTCCCTCCCTACCACCAGACACACTCCTAAAACAATGACTTAAAATTTAGTATGTTAAAAGTTCTCCAAAATAATACGAACTGCAATACAAACTACTTTAAAAATGAAACTCTGAAATCAAATGAAAAGCTCATAACAATCAGGGCAATGCTTAATGAAGAAAAAAACAGTTGAATTCCAGTAAGAGATCTTTGTAGTATTTTAAACTACCCAGTCCCATACCCTACTTTGCAGGCTGGTGGAAGCCTTGACGGCAACAACTTGTAGCCCTGGTACAAGTTGGAAGTAGCAATATAAATACTACTCACAAAAACTGTGGTTGTTTGGACCTGTCTGGTGGCTCCCTGAAGAACTAGCTCAAGGGTTTGCTATGAGGGGTGGGCCAGCAGCATGCATACATTT